TATCATTAAGGAAACATTGCAAAAACAAATTCAACATTAATTTGCATTGTTTCATTACCTCAGAAGCTGGATTGTTTTGTATTTCTTTGATAAACAGAAGTACATCTTGTTGAATGGTTCTCATAATGTCCACAGAGTTCAAAACCATTGCCTTTATTTCTTTCACATCCTTTTTCATGGCTACTTGGTTAGCTTTAATATGTTTTACTTCGTTAAGTAGATTACTTATATCAATTTCTATCTTGTCCAATTTTGTTGATGCTGCTGGTGGCATTTCTCTTTCAACTTTATCATGATTTATTTCTCTCAAAATGACCACCATAACTTGACAGTGATCTATATTATCTTCGTCAATTTGAATAATCAAACCTGCACTTGTAATTTTCAAATTCAATAATAACATAACTCGATAGGTTATGATCATAACTTGACCATAACTTGATTTTTGAAGTTGTGTTAAGTTATGGATATAGCTAGTGCTGAAACTTTGGACGGGCCGCCCGTAACCACCGAAAAGTTTGAATTTTTGCCCGAGTACCAAACCCGAACTGCCCAAAAATTCAGGCTGCCCGACCTGACCTGAAAATTGCCATGGACGGGCTTCGGGCAGGAGGTGCCTGCCCGTGCCCGGTCGGGCTGCCCGATGCCCGACCGGTTGCCCAAATTTTCAAATTTTTTTATATTATATTTTTATATTGTATTTGTATAATTATAATGTATATATTACAATTTGAAATTTGAAATGAACACACGAACTATATAAAAAAAATTATTTCTTCATTGATTTTAAATTTGTAATTCATGATTGCCTCGTTAAAAACCTTACCAAGAAAAACTCAATTGGGATAAAAACTTGGTAAGGAAAAAAGAGTGCAATCATTGTGGGACCAATTACAAATTTGACAAACTTACAAAGTCTATACAAGATTACAATAACACTATACAAATTAGAAATTACAAAGTAAATAAACATTTACAAATTAGAATAATAAAATTTAATTTGAAGCAGAAGGATCGTCTTGAAAATTAAAAGTTAATTTATTAAATTCGTCGATCCATTCTTGGTTTTCCGGTGAGATTGTATCGTGTAAGCGTTGGTCGGAACGGTCTCAATCCTTGATGCACACCAAAGCTTCAACAATATCCTGCTGTAATGCGTTTCTCCGTTCTTCAAGTATTCGGCCGGTTGTACTGAATTCTTGTTCGGCTGCAACAGTGGAGACCGGGATAAAAAAAATATCCATTGCCAGTTGTGTTAGGATCGGCCAAGTTAATGCTCGTGCCCTCCACCACTCAACCAAATCAAACATTTCACTACTGTCTATAACTAAGCCCTCACTCAGGTACGCCATTAACTTGTTGAATCCGCCGCCACCTCTTGATGAAGATCCACTCCCAGATTCTTCTTGACTTTGAGTCGTCGTCGTCGTCTTCTTCTTCTTCTTAGACAACCCAAAAACATTTAAGGATGAATACAGATTGTTGTCTCGTTGTTGCGGTTATTCAACACGAGGTATGTTTCTAAACCTACTTTCATAAGAGATATATAGAGAATATATTTTCTCCTTTATAATAGGAAATTAGTTAGTAGTGTCGATAGCTAAAAATTCACCTAAGTTATCTAATCCACTTTCTAAACCTTCTAATTTTAATATAGGGTAAAAAATAACACTGAAACCATACAACATGGGTAATTTAGACCAATAGTTTTTAAACTTCTTTTCCATAGAAGCGATAAGAACTCCTAAAACCTCGTGTGTCCTAAATTCACTAAATAAAATAGACATTCTTAAAAGTTCTCCTAATGCTAATGGTGAAGTTGGGTAATAAGTTAAGCTTTAAGGTAACTTCGTGAAATCTACCTAAAAAGTTATACAAGAGTTCGGCAATTTGCCAATCAGTTTCATCTATAAATCATGTTCCTAATTTTACACTAACATAATTTGTTATAGCATCTTTATAGGGGATGCATTGTTCAAGCATTATGTAAGTGGAGTTCCATCTTATGGGCATATCTAAGGCTAATG